GGGGGGGGGGCAGGGGGCCTTGGGGGTTCACAAATCGTTCTCTAGGATAGACCCCAAACATTTTTATAAGACATAAGATTGCATTAGTTACAAAAATGTCACAAGAAATTAAGTAATAAAAGTTACTGTTCCATAAGAGTGATGTACTTGATTTCGATTAACGCTGATTCATTGTAGATCTTTTTCACTTTAAACACTTAAACAAATTTTATCACAATGTTTAAATAACTTACATAAAATCTGCAGATTCATACCAGGATTTAGATGCCCTTAACTTATGTATAGCCAAACATTTTAAGCCTATTTTTAAGAAAGATAAAACCACAGAGCGCCGGTGATATCTCTAAAGAGTGAGTGTATACAACTAAAAAGGGGGTAGAAAGGATCGGCCATTAATTCCTAAAGGTCGTCATACTTTTTGGAAATATTGAATTATACAGGAGAAAGTTTTCAGAAATGAATAAAAAATATAAAGCCACTTAAGAAATGTACGTTGAGCAATCAAAATATGAAAATTGATGGGGGGATCTCACCAGTAAGGTTTCCAAAGAAAAAGTTATATGGTACTTCACATTTGTTGCGAAAAAAATTTGTTCGCCCAATTTTTTTTTCATTTTTTCGGATTCGTTCGCTCGAGAAAAATACAAAAATTGTCGCTTATTTCGCGAAATATCGCCTTAATGTGTTTCTCAAAATTTCGCTTTAATGTGTTTTGCGAAATTTTTGCGAAAAAAGCAATGCGAAAATTTTGCTAAAAACCAAAAACAAAATTTTCGGGAGAAAAAATGCGAAAAATTTTCGGAAAAAATCCGGAAGAGAAATCTATAATTGTGAAATAGTAAAACTTCTAATGCTGAGCTCTCAGAGCAGAATATTCCACAAGGTTTTTGTGCAATTAGCTGTTTCAGCCAGGCGCGCAATTAGACATTCGATTAGTGGGGGCTACGGCTACGGGGAAATATTTTTTTAGACCAAGGACTTAAATCTGGTCCTAGGACTCAGGGTTGCCAACTCCAAAATTTTGCTCAGAACCACATATTTCACTGCAGGGAACCAGTTGGGAACCAAAATCGAACATGCAAAACCACTTAAGAACCAATGAAAAAAAAGAGTATTTTAACAAGAAAAAATACTTTTTATTCAACACTTTCTGTTAGAGGGCTGTATAACTACTCTGAACATTTCCCATCTCCGGGTATATCAGTCAGTATAAGATTTTAAAATAAATGCGACCCAGCTTCTTGAAAAGTTGAAAATGATTGTTTCCACATGATTTTTTTAAAGGGTCACTGAAATGGGGAAAAAAAAAACTATTTTTTGGTAAATACATGGAATTTTAAAGTAAAAATTATTGTAGAGGGTAAAAACTTGCCCATTGAAAGCCAATTTTTGAAATTCATGGGGAATGTGATGAATTTAGAACTGCAAGACGGCCGTTTTACGTGTTCTAGTAAAAAAATTGGTTATAGCTATATTATCGAAACTAGAAATAAGCCAATCCATTAACTTAATAAACTGCAGTTCTTCTAATAAGAGTTCTTTAATTCCCAAAATGAACAGTTCAGATTATATGGTAGTTTTGTAATATGGCATTTCAGTATCAATGCTAAAAATGCTAACAAAAGATTGTCCAAATCACTTTTTTATTATAGGTTCTGTCTGCTTTAAATCTTCAGCTTTCACTTAATGGTTCCTTACAGTAAAAATTTTTGAACCTTTTCTGTAGACCTTAAAATCAAATATAAAGTGGGCATTAAATTATTAAGGGAATGGAGGTGCTTAAATTATATAGTTTATAAAAATATCCTTTCATTTTCATTAATTTAGAATATTTTATACAAGAATTATCTAAAAATGATTTGCTAAATCTAGCCATTTTAACGTTTTCCTCAATAAATACCAAAAAAATCTTGGAACCAGATGGGAACCACCAGAACCACAACTTTTCTAGAGAACCACTTTTGAGTTATTTGGTTCCGTACAGAACCACTTGGCAACCCTGCTCTAAAGAGTGAGTGTATACAACTAAAAAGGGGGTAGAAAGGATCGGCCATTAATTCCTAAAGGTCGTCATACTTTTTGGAAATATTGAATTAT